GAAGGAAGATAAAATGGGGTAAAATTACCTTAATAGGGGAATACGTTTGCAACTTACGGGTTATGGGAAAACCCCACACCGCACCACCGCCAACCTAAAAGGACGAGTGGCGTGATGATCATGAAAGCCATGCCGCTAGAGACGCTGTTTATTTATAGTAAGGACGGTGGACATTCATCCGTTTACTTAATTTTTTATACATTTATAGGAAATGTTTGGTTAAGTAGGCATTAAATCGGAAGCGGTTACAATGTAAGTCAAGGGAGTGCGGTGATAGCGGGTCCCTATCACACCTGTGCCCTCCTCATTATTACGCACTTTCACAACAGCAGATGTGAATGTGATGTGATGTAAATTCCAATTACAGACGCTGTTGTTTCGAGTGCGGCTACGTGTATCGCAAAGCATCAGCCACAGAATATGATGGGATGGAAACTGCAACCGGCGTTATCATCATCACCAGGTAGAGCAAAGCTAACAAATGTATCGCCATTGGGAGGGGTTGACGAACTCCTTTGCACCCAAACTGAAATCATCCTTTCACCACCTGTTGCTGGCAAACAAACCACATGCACTGCACTGGTAGCTGGTCTGCCTGTATTTTATCCGACGACGGCCCTCTCCCTTGAGGCATCGCAAGTATTGCACTCCACCCTCTCTCGCGCGATACGCGATGACTTTTCACGCGACCTACCCGCATGAAATGACTGTGACCTATCACCTCCACAACTGTGCGACAAGTTGCCTCGACGATTGGAAAGTAGGTTTTCTAATCACTAGGCTAATTTTTGTGGCAGTCATGCTTAAGTGGCAACACTTAAAGCCGCACATTTACATTGCACAAGGCCTCAACATCTCACTCCACATGAAGCATACTCATAGAGCGATTTCAGGCTACACGAAACAGCATACGAGTGTGATATCGTTTCGGTTTTGCAATCCACAGCTTTCAAATCTAGGCAGTGAATATCAATGAAAACAAAGATCGGATTCGCTCACTTGTCATTGTGTCAAGGTCAAGGTCTCCAATAGAGGCGGAGGCTGCTTCATCAGTTAAGGCCGCAGCTGCAAAGCTAGCGGGATCATTCGCCACCCAGACCAACGGTGGTGGCAGTGAAGGGGTCCTAAACCCAGCTAAAGACATGAGTCGTCACTATTAAGAGCGAACAACTCTCCTTAGATGGGGTCTTGTCCAAAACATTTAAAAGTAAGTAGAATGCCACAGAATGACAACAAGGCACCCGAGTTAGATACAGCACTTTCTTCGGGTGCATTCACAACTGGCACCAGCCTCTTTAATTCTAACCAGTGTCTAGAGGACGCACTATGTTCCATAGTTGAATTCATTACAGTAGTCGATGAATGCAGGAACTACACACGTGCACAATAACGTCCCATAAAATGACTCT